GTTCTTCTCTGCGTGAGTAGCTTAATGTTGTTCGTGTGTAATTTACGTTGAGTAGGCTAACCACGTTATTACATTAATGCATGTAAGGTGAACTAGCAAACACCGTCGTAGCTACATGTGGCTGTCTTCTTGTTTGATGGCAGATGCTCCCTTCACCCTGGCCAAAAAGGCTAAAATGACCAAAGAAAAAGTGGAAAACAGTTAAACATGAGAGGTTTTGGACAAAGTTTGTATTTTTTCCATTGTTTAAGCACTGCTTCCAGCCAAGAGTGATACCATATATGCCCCATAGCTCCAGAAAAGGCTAACATTGTTATCTTTTTACAAAAAACAGCTTTGCAAAAGCAAAGTTTGTGTTCTCCATTCTTTAAGCACCGGTTTGAGCACTGTTTGAGCACCGGCACCGTTTCAAAAGTACCGATTTCGCACCGGTATTGGATAAAACCTAAACGATACCCATCCCTACTGAAGAGACATGACTGACCCACAGGACTGATCACAGGGACTTTTCCAAGTGATGATGGAAAGCTCAGGAAGGTCGAGGTGACAGTGTTCCAAAACTTTACGCAAAGCCAGTGTCGGAAGTTATACTCCTGTTGCAAAGAAACTCTGTCAAGTGATGTGCAGTTTGCAATCCTAGGGATGCCAGGTGGGGATTATGCTGGCATTAGGTATTTTCTGTTCCGCTGCTAAACCCAAGAACCCAGATGCAGCACCGCGCTCACTGGTGGTCAGATTCTGGGACTCCTCTGTGAAAGAGACCGTTCTATGACAAGCCTGGGATCAGAAATGTGTCTTATATAAAGGGCACGCAGATATATTTTGATCATGATTTTTCCCCGGAACTGCAAGAGAGGAGGGCACTGGTGCGAGATGCAGTAAAGCAATTAAAGCTGACAAACATCAGAGCCAAGTGTGTTTGGAATGAATCCAAACAATCATTTTAAATATTGGAGAACCAATGTATTTTTCTTGAATAACGAAACAATTCGACAAGAACTTCAAAAGAGTCTGACTGAATATATTCAATTCAATGATAATGAGGTGTCTCCTTCAATCTTGTGGGAGAGTGTCAAAAGTTATTTGAGAGGTAATATTATAGCAGTTTCATCAAGAATGAAAAAAAGAGAGACTAGCAGAACAAACAGAACTAGAAAACAAAATTAAGAAATTAGAAAAAAGTCCATCTGGTAACTAAAGACACTGGGACTTTGAACTCATTGAAAGAGCAGAAGCAAGAGTTGGATGATTAACTAATGTATAAGGCGGAGGGACAACTACGCTTTGCTAATCAAAAGTACTACCAACACGGCAATCGACAAGCCGACAACACTTATCACTCATTTACTAAAGACCTCTGATTTCTTACACTCACCTCTGACTCTGAGAGTCACTGATTTCTGTGTCAGCATGTGTCCATCCTTGTTGTAGACGGTGCAGGTGTAGAATCCACTGTCAGTCAGGCGGAGGTCTTTCAGGGTCAGACTGAGGTCTCCATTTTCTAGTGGCTCTTTATTCATCTCTGTGCGACCTCTGTAAATCTGGTTGTGTTTGTCTGGCTGATCGTTTCCACACGTATACATGTGGACCACCATATACTTGGGTTCAGTGAGCCTCCACTCCACTGTGACATCCTGAGAAAGGACAGATGTGGTTTCAAAGGGCAGCTGGACAGACCTCAACCCCTGTTTCACCTCCACTACCTCTGGCTGACTCTCTGAAAAGAGATCGGACAAACATCAGTAAGGTTGATCCTCCATTATGTCCTCTGCTGTGTAACCAGCAGCTCTTCCTCCTGTTTTCAGCGTTTCTCTGACTTGGAGCTGAACTGATGTGTGTTGATGTGTGAGGCTGCACAAACAGCTGTGCAACTTTCTGCTGCTTTTTTTAGTCTCACACAGCTGACCAAGAACACAATGTTTTTTCTTTAGACAGTGATGTGGACAAAGAGCGTGTTGTTAATGGTTTAATGTATGAACAGTTCAGAGACCAGTGTCAGTGAACGCAATGAGCTCCTTATTAACAGTGGTCCACCATGTCAGAGTGATGAAGGAGCTCAGTGAAAAGCGCACTCATCGCTTCATTTTTTCTGACTTGATCCAACAGTTTTGAAAGCTCTAAATCTGTTGTATGTCCCCATTTAGATTCTTTTCAGTCAGTTTGTTTGTCATATCAGGTTATCACAGATCCACATTCAGTCTGTGGACAAACAGCTGTTACACTCACCTCTGACTCTGAGAGTCACTGATTTCTGTAGCAGCATGTGTCCATCCTTGTTGTAGACGGTGCAGGTGTAGACTCCACTGTCAGTGAGGTGGAGGTCTTTCAGGGTCAGACTGAGGTCTCCAGTTCTCAGTGCGTCTTCCTTCATCTCTGTGCGACCTCTGTCATCCACATGCTGTGAGTCAACATTTACATCCGTGTACTTGTAGACTTCCACATTGTTGTGTCTCCACTCCACTGTGGTACCCTGAGGAAGGTCACGTGGTATTTTGAAGGGAAGCATTACAAACTTTAGCCCTTGTGTAGACACCATCTCCATCCCAACATCTGAAAGCAGAATATCAGTGTACAGACAGACAGACATCAGTGAATTTGATCCCCCATCACTCTTCACTCTTGTTTTTAGTCACTGTGGACAAACAGCTGTTACACTCATAGGGGTGGAGCCAAACCCAAATACGGTATTCGGAAAGGCACAAATATCGTGTTTTATACAAATACTTATTTCGCACAAATACTTTTAAAAATATTTGTATTCAGGAACAAGAAAAACTTTATATCAAAAAGCTGAGTTTCCTTATGAGACCGCAGTGCATAACCGGATGAGTGAGGGACGTGTGAAAGAGGTGACTGACACGGGCTGCTCCACACAGCAACAGAGAGGCTCTGCTGCAAAAAAAGACTGAACTGCATCACTATTTTTGGTGAATAGCTTGTTTTGTATCTTTTGTATCTTAACTGGGTTCTTGAGGCTGTTTATATGTTTATAACTTTCGCAAAGATCGGGAGATTATTCCACTGACGTCTGCAGTCGGGTCTGTCGTGTTCGCTCTGTTAGCTCGCTCATTTAGACAACAGGCTGTTGACAGAGTAACTTTAACCTTTGGTTTAAAAGGTTAAAACAATGCTTGTGTAGTTGTGTCGAATTGTATGCACTTGTTGGAGTTATGTGGTACATTTAAGTTACTCCGTCTTTTGCAGACAGCAAGATATAGGCTAGTTAACCTTAGCATAGCTTCCCATTACTCATTAACATGGATTTGGGCAACCAAATAAAAAAAAGAGTGTGGCTGCTGCTGAGCCACCTCTTGGTCCTCCAGCAGCCAAAAAAAACTTGATCAAATTCTGTGTGGAAGCATTTTACACTCAGTGCTGCACATGAAACCAGAGTGATATGTAATGTATGCAAAAGTCAAGTCAACAGAGGCAGCGATATCAAACATGTCAACATTTGCTATGCATAATCACTTAAAGCATCCTCTCCTGGTACTGTCTGCCAACCCCCTCCCCCAGCACCAATTCATCAACACAGCCATGTTCTGCCCCTGCAAGTCAGTTGATGAGATGAGATAGATGAGATAGCCTTTATTTGTCAATTACAAACAAGATGACAGACCTTGCCGACCGTACATACAAAACACAAACATCACATTGGGGAGACAGGTCAGGCTAGGTAGCAAGAAAAAAAACATCGAAATGTGCAACACAGAAGGATAATCCAGGAATGCACAGATATCAACACACCATAGCACAATAAACACAGACAAGCAACATGGGAGAGTATTCCAGTGTGTACAGCTGATCTGGGTCCGCTGCAATCTTCGATTGTGCCTCCAGCTGATCCGGTGTCCTCATTGGATGGGAGGAGGCGTTGTTGTCAGGACAAAGAGTTCTGACAACAATCCTGTTATCATGGGAAGAATTTGTTGTTCCAGTCAGCTTCGACCTTGGCAGGCCTTCAGCTTGTGCCAGTGGGATAGCTGCATGAGTGAAGATGGTGACTGTTTGGGTTTAGTGCGAACAACTGCATCCAATTTTGTTTCCTGTTCTCATGCTGTCCTCCCATAGGTGCCCAGCATGAGTAGAGGTCTCTTTTTTCCTCTTGTACTTTCCCATTGTTGTGTACTTTTTCAGTGTTTTTTTCTGTAACGCTGCCGATCTGTCAGCCAGCCTTATGGGATTTTGAACAGCTGTAGCCACTTCTTGTTCTTCGATAAGCCAGCTCCAAGCCAGCTCCAAGCCAGCTCCAAACAGCCAGAACTTTTTCACGGTTTTCATGGTTTCGCGGTTTCAAATTGGTAGATGTCATTCAATGTCGTCCGTCGAGAGTGTTGCCAGACACACGATGCAACCGACCATCGAGTATCCGGCAGCAAACGTCTCCGCAGGACAATCGCGCTGTCCCAAGCCTAGCAGGGTGTAAATTCCGACCAGCTGATCAAATCCATAATTCTTTAGGTTTTAGAGAACAAGAGTGAGAAACCCTTTGAGGGTTAGAGTTAATCGAGACTAGACAAACACATAGAAGCAGCAGCAGGGAAGATGAGGGAGGGAGAGAGGGAAAGATGCGTCCGCCTCCTCCGAGAGCTATCTGTTCAGTGTCCTCCAACAAGGACGGGTGGTAGTGAGGTTCATAATGTTCACAATGGTATTTTATAAGTTGTTGGTTTAACCATGGATGAGGCAATGGCTGATATGTTATTTTCTTTTCAATTACATTCCTTGTTACATGTTCATTGCTGGATTTATGGAAAAAGATCAACTAATAATGCATATCCATAATTATTATAATATATATAATTAATAAACACTTACACTGTAACGTTAATTAGAAGTGAAATGCAAAAAAATTGATTTTTACGCCTATTTTGAATTTTACTCGAATACAAATACAAAGACCGACTGCTTTACACATCTCTATACACTCACCTCTCACACTGAGAGTCACTGTTTTCTGTAGCAGCATGTGTCCATCCTTGTTGTAGACGGTGCAGGTGTAGACTCCACTGTCAGTCAGGCGGAGGTCTTTCAGGGTCAGACTGAAGTCTTTAGTGTTCAGTGGTTCTTCTGTCATCTCTGTGCGACCTTTGAAATCTTGGTGCTGTTTGTCTGGCTGGCTGTTACCATTCTCATACACATGGACATTCTTGTAATTGGGCCCAGTGAGTGTCCACTCGACTTTAATGTCCCGAGGAAGGTCGGATGTGGTTTGAAAGGGCAGCTGGCCAGACTTTGCAACCTCCACAATCTCTGGCTGAGGAACTGAGAAAAAAAACAAAACAAAAGGACAACATGAGGCAGACATAAGACACACACATATATACATATATATACATATACATATACATACATACATACATACATATATATATATATATAT